TCTCCATTATTCACTTTCGAATGCGAAAGGAAGGCATTCAGAAATAACTCGAGTGATAACATTTGCCCAACAGCAACCAACCCTCAGGAAAGTTTTTTACCTAGAAGTAAAGTGAAAGCAGTTTAGCGCTGCGCGCGTAAACCCACCTTCATATAACACAACAAATTCTAAACTCATTCATCATTCTACTCTGCCCATAAATTCCGAGTTATTTTTTTTTTATAGTTTTTCTTGGATTTTTCTTTTTTCATTAATATTGTTATGTTTTGCAGAAAAGTCTTCGTCTTTTTAATGATTAAGCTTGGGCTTGAATAAGCTTTTGTAATTGTTTCAGTAATATCACAAAACGCACCAGCTTTGAAACTTGGCAATTCAATTGCTTTTTGTAGTGTTTGAATGGATGCGTCAATTTGTTTTGACTGTTTCAGCAATTTTGCCCGTATTAGGTGATACAGTGGGTGCTCGCGCACTTTGAAATTATAACTCAGTCCAACATCAAGTGATTTACGCGATTCTTCATAGTTGTTTTTATGAAGATGAACCTGAAATGTTAACAGTTTATTCAATTAACAATAATGCGAACTACAGGACCGACGTGAATGTGCATCTCTTGCAAGGTTTATGAGATATGAAGCAGGTATTCATGCTTCAAAAACAAATTTGGAGTACTCAGAAAAATTTGGACCCCTTCTCTTGAAGTAATAGCTTGCGACCGAGTAAATTCAGAAAACTGATCTCAGAACTAACAGTCTTCACAGCGCCAAAGACAATTTCTCCGAAATTTAGTCTGATTCCCGTAAATTGTGCCATTCACGAGGTCAAAAAAATGAAAAAAACTCAAAACCCCTTCGCAGTTATTCATTATAACAATGCTTATTGCCATTGTACTATCTCTCACCACTGATATTTGACAATGCATTGCTAATGAGCTGGTAAAAATCTGCTGGAAAATTCTGCTGGGTGCGCAAGACCCGAAAATGTACTGGCTTTCTTAATGTGACTGTATCAAACGGGAGCTGAACAAGTTAGCGATTGGTACCTGAGCCATAAGTAAATACGCCTCAGCTGGACAATCGTCCTTATCCATGCACTTTCTCAGCAATCGTTCCGCCTCAGTAAAATCCATTGAAAGATATTTCGCTTTGGCTAAAAGATAACCAGCTGTCACTAAACCTGAAATAAGAATGAATCTTACTAAAAGTAATACGAACTAACAGCGAAGCTTGAGCTAGAAGCATCTGCCAGAAAAAAACAGTGCCGTTAGCGGCAAAAATCTGCGGGAAACTATGCAAAAAACGCATCTTCGCACAGGCAGTCCGTGCGTTGGCCAATTATCATGTCTGAAGTGTAACATTTACTTTGTCACTCCAATCATTCGTTATTTCACTTTTGCTTTCTTTTTCGTAACTGATGTAGCTGGCAAATTCCCCACTTCTCTTAACCTCCGGCATTTCTCATCCACGTAATTTCAGGG